TAAAACAACACATCGTGAAACAAGTTTACAACATTGAAACAGTAAATTAGCTCTTGTAGTTAGGATTCTATCTTTGCTATATTGTTGCTTTATCAGCTTGATAAAACAACAACAAAAGTTGCACCACCTCTACTACGTAGAATAGATTGTCCTGTGTCTCTCTCCTTACCGCAAACTGGTCGAAGCAGATGGCCGCCCCTCCCTGAACCTGGTTCTGCTGGAGGTTTCTTCCTTTTAAAAGGGAGTTTTTCCTCCCCACTGTCACCAAGTTTGCATAAGGGATCATCTGATTGTCGGGGTTTTCTCTGTAACATTGTGGGGTCTTTCCCTTAAAATATAAAGCACCCTGAGGTGACTGTTGTGATTTGGTTCTATATAAATAAGATTTAATTGAATTTTTTTTTTACCTACTACATGTGCGATTCACTGGGTTGTTTACACAAAGTCTCTGTGGGTTTGAGCTTGATCATTTCTTAATGTAAAATAGATGACTTACTATTGCTACTTTGTTAGTTTTTCCATTCCTGACAATCATGACATGATTAAAGACTTTTCATAGATCTGATCAAAGCAATATTAATCTTTATGCAAAAGTTTTTCTATACATGCGTGTCAACAAAACAAAAGCCTTACTCGTAGGCCATAAACTAGAATTCCTTTTGCTGCCTTTAGAGGATCCCCACCTTGTTCATCTTATAACATGCTGTTTGGATGAGTGTACATTTTCAGCATAATTATTTAAAACCCAGTCTGAACATGAGGTCACATGCTATCACTTGTGCAGTAATTCAGTCCGTGTTTGGCAGACAGTGCGACTGCATGTGCGGTGGCTGATAAAAACGTAGTATTGGCTTCTTGTCTGACTCCCAGGTTAATTCAGCTTTACGTGTTGGCCTTGTGTTGTTGGGGACCTTGTGTAAAGAACGGGCTCGCTCTCTACACCAAAGAGCTGAAAATCAGTCAGGCAGGTTCACTGTGGGACCATTCGCCATGTCAGGGCTGCTGCAGTTATTTGTCATTCCCTGTCAAGGCTCAGGCGCTCTCTCTACTGCACAAGGCCTGTTGGGTGCACGTGCTTGCAGTAGACCCAGGAATGCATATACGTGTGTGTGTGTATGTAAATGTGTGTGCTCGCTTGCTTGTTTGCTTGCGTGCTGGAGGGTTACTGTCAAGGTGGTGCTCTTCTAATCTGGGCCTCACTGCAGGCGATGCCCAGGGCTAGAAAACAGGAAACAACAGGCAGAGTTGTGTGTGGAACTATTTGAATGTGAGAGCGCATGTGTCTTTATGTTCTTCTTGTGTGACACAGGAAAAATAGAAAGAGGGTTTGTCTGTAAACTCATCAAGTTCCCAGCAGAATTTCCTCCCACTTTCCTCTTCCTGTTCTCAGCTAAATGCAGCTGCTGCTGCAAAAACAAATGTGACATTGCCAGCTGTTGACACTTTTAAAATTCCAGTCCATCCTTTTCATCATCTGCAAGGTGAAAATCAGCCACCTCCAGCAACTGCTGCTGTTGCTGCTGCCCCATTTCGCAACAAAACTCTAGTTTTACTCGACTCGAGAAGGCCACCCAGCCTTGTTGACTTCAGTGACTCCACCATTAAGAAAATATGGCTGCCATGACCTCTGGCAACCACACTGAACCACCCAAAACATCAGACAACTGTAAGCCTTTGCCGCCTGCTTTGAGAATGAGGGGATGAGGAAAGGAACAAGAGAGAGGTAAAAGTGGGGTGCAGTTAGTGGGTGCAGAGTGCATTTTTATGAGGCCATGCCTATCTAGTTTCTTTTTTGTCTGGCTGTGTGGACATAAATTTTTACCCTCCCTCCCTCCCTCCTTGCCCGTGTTCCTCCATCTCTCTCCGGTTTTCTTCTGGCATGCTGGCCAAGCAAATCCGCCCTTATCGACCTGCTCCTGCAGCCTGTTTGCAAACTTTCCCCCCAGTTTCTCTCAGTCTCCTCAACCCGCATCATTCATCTTCCTTCACGTCCCCGCTGCCATCTTACCATATTTCCATTCCCTGGTTCCCTCTGCCTTCTGCTTTGCCATATTTTTTGTCTTTAAAGGCCAAAACCACCTTTATTCCCTTCAGTTATTTTCTTCTCTTCCATTCTTCCCCTCCTTCTCCTCCACCACCTCCACACCCCACCCCTGGTCCCAACCCTACCCCCTTATAGATGGAGATTAACTGGGGAGAGCAGCGCCATCCGTCCTCGTGACTGTTTGTTGTTAAGGAGATGGATGGAAGCTCCCTCTGCCAGCCCCACGCAGCCGCAATTACACCAGCCGCCATGATGGATGGAGGGGAGGGAAAAAGGGGGGTGGTGGAGAGGAGGGAGCCACAGAGAGGGGGGCATCTATCACACCCCTTAATCTACCTGTCACTGCATGGCTTGCATGGGTAGAGGAGGGGCCGAAGGGAAGAAGAGAGTCGGCTTTACATCCACAGCTGGTCGAAGCTTCTTTTTTTTTTGTTAACACAAAATTTCTTTTCTTTTTTTTTTGCGGAACTTGGCCTGCAAGAAAGGGACATTAAATATCCCGATCAGTTTAATTGATTTCCCAGAGCCCACTCAATTCTGCTGAGCATACCACATGTGTGTGTTTGAAGTGTGTGTGCATGTTCGGCGGGCATCAACAGGTAATGAGATGCAGATTCTATTGCCCTTTTGAAGAAACCCACACTTTGCATAAACCTCATAACATATACATATATATCCACAATAGAACTCAAGTGATAAACATGCAGAAAGGTGACCACAATACACACACACAGTACCAAACTAAGTTGTTTAGCATCCCCCCCAACACACACACTCACCCCTCCAACATTCTGAGCTCCTTCTCATACCTGTTGAAGACATCATGACCTATCACAGAGTAAATCTGCATACATCACTTGCAGCACTTCTTAATTTTTCCCCCCACAATGGTGCAGAAATGTTATGAAAAGTAATCTGAGGTCTCCTTCCCTCGACCCCTCCTCCTCCTTCTCTCCCCATCTTCCTCCTCCACCTCCTCATCTGTCCAGAGAAGAGAGAGAGATGGGATGGAGGGATTAATACTCTTCCGCCCAAGCCAACCCTGAGAATGATAGATGGACAGATGCAGGAAGGGAGTGGAGGAGGAGAGAGATTAAAGGAGAGAAGTCTGAGGGTTCATAAATCCAAAAGGGTAGAGACCTGGTCCGCATCACACACTAATAAGATCTGCAAGAAATCTATGATGAGGAAGAGAGGTGGAGTGAAGAGGAGGGAGAGAGATGGGAGTGATGTAATAGCATTAGATGTAATCTAATCATGGCAATAAGATGTGAATGGATGAGTGTGAGCATGGTGATTATGCAGAAGAGGGATGGCAGTGCGTTGATGAAGCTTCGAGGCCTTGTTATTAAACAACAGATCAACAGACAGGCGTCACTGGGGAGCTTTCTGCTGCAAAGGCTCCATAAAAACGCTGTGTTTGTCGTACTTTTTGACAGATTTTATCACGCTGGCTGCCACCAGATGAAAACAAGAAGTGGTAACACAGTGGGTGCTGTATGGCTGCACAATGTCTCTGTCTGAAGTAAATGTAAATCAGGAAGAAAATGTGTGTTGATTGAAATGAATCATTCTGTGTGTCATGAAAGCTATGTGCTTCATCATGGTCGTGTAGGTGTGTGTGTGTGTGTGTGGCAGCCATCAGCATGTACAGAATCAACTGTAAGTGCATTAAGTGCAGTCGTGCAGCCTGATCTGACTTGGAACAGATAGAGTGCTCCTTCACCTCCCTCCTCTTCTCTGCGACCCCACTGCCACCAACCCCTCCCCCTCATCCCCAACTTCTCCAGCCTCCCCTCAGTCCACTGGGCCACATTTTTCATGGCCCAGCTGTCGTAGGGCTTTGATTGGTTGGCCCGGCGGACAGATAGCCGATAGGCTCTGATTAATAGTTGAGGCCCAAGAACTTCCTCATTGATCAACAGGACAGGCTGCAAGAGGGGGAGGAGGAGGAGATAGAAAAAGCATGCCCTGTCGCCCTGCAAGTGCTGGCTGATAATCCAGATAGTGGAATTTGTGGCAGTGTGCGTGCGTGTGTGTGTGTTTGTTTGTTTACTATAGTAAGTAGATTGTTAAAAACAGAATGAAACAGAAGCGCTGGGCTGAAAACTATATATATATATATATATATATATAAACACAGAAAACACAGACACATTTACCAACAGCAAACCTCTGGCGGTCCTTTATGGATACCACAGTGTGCCGTGTGGGTGTGTGGCTGAGAAGGAGGAGGGGGGACTGGAATGTAAAATAAATGCTTGATGTCTGATTCAATTACTTGTTTAGTCCATTTAAATGCACTTTCATTGTGCTATATGCCCAGCATTTGTTACAGTATCTAGGTATGCCTGTGTTTGTGTGTCTGTGTGTGTGCGCTTGTCCCCTCCTGCTGTTCTGTCCAGCCTCTAGCTGATTGATGATCTTCACTCCCACGGGGTCAGCAGGGTCACGACCTCCCACTTTTGACCCCCCTACTGAGATTCTCTCTCTCTCTCTCTCTCTCTCTCTCTCTCTCACACACACACACACACACACACTTACACACACACACACAAACAAGGAAACAGATGGCCTTGGGACAATTTCCTCACCTTTCTGTCACAAACAGTCTCCATCTCATCACATCCGCAGAAGTTCATTGATTTTAACAAATGTAAGCAAAAAGAAAGAAAAACATCAGAGCCAAATGCTTCAGATTCGCATGCTTACTGTATTCCATCAAAAACAACAGATAAGCCACTCAGGACTTTGATACGCAGCGCCTCAAGAAATGGGTTTCATCATGTAGCAATATCACACCCTAGTGACACTTAATGGTTATGACAACTGAGGAATACTTCAAAAACAAAACTCAGCTAAAAAACAAACAAAAAAAAAAACGAAAAACATTTTATTTTACTAGCACCATTTAAAAATTAATCAGTGAGAAATGGCTGTTAAGAACACAAACCTCTAAAAACTCAATCAGCCTAAACATCGGAAATGTTCAGCACAAAGTCCAAAATAAAGACATAAGAGGAAAATCTCGAAAAGCACAACACATAAATACACAGATCGGCCTCTGTGCTATGAGATTGTTATAGATGGACAGCAAAGGGGCAGAGAACAGGAGGGAGGAAATGGAAGATGATGAGCAGGAGAAGGAGGAGGCGGAGGACAGATTATTAACTATTTCTTATCAGCTTCAGACGAGGGTGATAAGGGCTGATCGGGTTATAACGTGATCTGATCAGGACGTTCCTTTCTCCAGCTTCTCCTGTGCAGCTGTCTTTAGCCAGTTAGCCACGTGTTTTTCAATCTCCTGAGAGGTGGAAAGATGAGAAAGAAAGGCAGACATACATTAAGGTTTTTCATTTTTTTTTAATGCTACAACTGCTTGAGGATTGTTACCACACTATACCGCAAAGCAAAGGTGCTTCCTGTGTTAGTATGTGGTTTAAAAGGCTAGTTTTGATATGGGATGCCCGCAATGTGTGATTTGCAAGAGTGCAGTAAGCACTTGATTTGTGATTGTGCACCACCAAGCAGCACTTAAGTGGTTGTTTTGTGCACTATGATATATAAATCACAACTAACTTGAGATTTATAGATTATATATCTATATATATGCAGGACAAAATCCACAATACTGTGTAAAAATGCATTCCAGCATTTAACTGACACTTTCACAGTATAGTTTATTGTATCACGAGGCAATATTTTACAACTCTGACAGTTATTAAAGCTGGAATTACCTCATTTCTCTTTAAAAGAGACAAGGCACGCTCTGGAAATATATGGTGTAAATGCTGCAATGTAATTAACCAGCAATGTGCAGTTGCATGTATTTGACTAGAGAGTGCATCATCTTTGTTGTTAAGTCATATCAGATGTTCTACTTCTGAGATTTGGAAGTTTAATTTAAGTTCAAAAATAGCCAAAAGTTTAGGTAAAATGCACTAATTTGAATTTTACTTTAAAATGTGAGCATTGTGGATTTTGTCCTCTGTTTCTTAGGCTGAAATAATGTCAGGATAGGATCTGTTTACTCTTCAAGCGCACCTCTGTGCTGTTTTAAGACAGACATGGAAAGAGAGGAAAATATGCTTTAAAGGATTACAGCACTGACTGGTGTGTGAAGCTGCTCTGAAAAATGCTTTTCAGATTGAAAACTTCTCAGTGAGGCGTGGGTACCTGTCTGGCTTTCGTGAGCGAGCTGCGGTCTGTGACTCTTCTACTCGACATGTCAGCGCAGTGAGCAGTGTCCTTAATGAAAATTGTCTGGGCCTCCTCTCCTTCCTCAGTCCCGTCCTGCACCACCGACAGCGTCTTCCACGGGTCGATTCCTCCTGTGGCAGTGATAAAAAAAAGTCTTCAACAGTCAAGAAAGTGCTGCTGGTTATCTAAATATGTAAGAAAAGGCGGTGTTCTCTGTCTCGCCTTGTATTTTCTCTGTAAATGTGCTGACTTTGTCTGTAGTAAACCCACTCTCACCATTAACATAAAGGATGCTGTGTGTGTGTGGGTTGTCTCCTCCGAAGTAAGTGTTTGTGAAGGCGATGCGAGCAGGCAGGGAATGCTGGGAAATACCAAACAGCGTGGTACAGAGCTTAGTCTGATCCTGCAGGGTCAACATCCCAGAGAAAGGACAAGTGGC